TGATGAGTTTATCAAACGATTAGAGTCAATTGCTATCTCGTAGATTCATTACTAGTGCGGAGCGATCAGAGCAATCGTGACCTACTATACTGACCTTCACTGACTTCTACTAGATGTTGCTATGTTGTCAGCTACGTCTATTATCATGCGCCTAATCAACTGGTCTGCATGAAGCCGAGATAGAGAGGCGTGGTAGATTACTGGAATCTCCTACACATACAGCGAGATTCTTTTCTGATCCTTTATTTTCCATCGGTGTTAAAGCGAAAAATTGCACTTTGCTCATCTGCGTTTGAGGAGATCAAAGAAGGAAAGGGCCCAACACTGCTTCATCATCTATTACAAAACTCCTCGGTTGGTATTTTGAAAGCAATCTCAGGGAGTTGTGCAGCGCATCACCACCAATATTCAGCACTCATTTTATTTAAGCACAGCACTTGTGACCATCCTGTGGTCGCCTTTTGTCATATTGCTTTATGTAGTAAAACGTTATCGGTTGCATCTGGCTACACCTTTGTTCTCACCAACTATCGTTTAACATCCTTCATGTACTAGTGCACTCTAAGGGTAAAGTCCGCTGTCAAAGTGATTGGCAGACAATTTGATAATTCGAGTTAATTGTTTAATGGCCAACGAAATTATGCGCAAGTGAGTGGCAACGCAATGGGATGTGGAATCACTGGAAGAGGTGTTATTTGAATAGGAAATGCATTCGAATATTGTATGATTCGTGGACTAATGCATACCTCTTGGCAGTTCAGTAATAGCTACGATGGCGAGATAATGGCCATGGCATGCGCTCCTTGTTCTTGACATTGCACTCGGCCACCACAACTTGAACAAAATTACTAGTTAGCATGTTCGGTCTGTGATCTCAAACCACCATTGTAGAATTCCGAATGCGCAATGTCGCCAAGTTATAACTAGCATATCTTGCGAAATGACTAATCATCTCGCTGCATCACCAGTGTGGAAGCGATTAATTGTTTCACAAGTGGATTTGAATGCTTACATTGGGGAAGGAAAATGTAGAGCTCATGAAAAGAGCAGAGAATCGGCAAATTTCCAACCACACACCGAGATGCATTGCTGGTTTGACAGCTGCAATTTATGCATTGGGAATTTCACCATTTGTCGGCACCCCATTGTTCACAAAATCCACGTCTACTCCGTCTACTATGAGTTCCTAATATTCATTTAATTAGATCCTGTTTCAGTGACAGTAAACTTTCTGTGCTTGCCTTCAGAAACACTAGGAAATTTTAACTACCTGAGTGGCAGCTTGAACTCTCTGACCAGTGATTGCATTTGGCATGCGAGATTCTGCAGTTCATCATAGACGTTCTCTAGAGATAAACAAAATGTGTAAGCGAATAACCTCGGCATGTAACGAATTAAACATCGTCAACCACATTGAGCAAAAGTGACTTTCTTATTGCTTTTAGGAACATCTATTCTGTTGATAAGCTTCGGATGCCAAACATATCACAAATGTCGCTCAATCTCACGCTTCCTTGTCTTTCTGCTTCTGTTAAAGTAAAACTCGTTTGGCAAGCGAAGAGGCTGCATAATTTTACTGATGCTGCAAACGCCAATTTCTAACTGAGAAGAACGTGGTCTT